GCCTGAGTTCCCCCAGCTGGGATCTGAGAGGGACTTTGTAGGATGAGTGAGTGCCGTAGGGAAGTACACTGTCCAAACCCCTCCAGGGAGCTGTACACTGTTAGAGAGAGGCCAAGGTTCACTAGAGGTTAGGCCTACAAAGCCACCCTCCTAGGTGACCAGATGTCCAGATTGGAAGATGTAGATGATGCATCTAGACCAGAGTTTCTGTCTGGAAAAGGCAGTGGCAACAACGGGCAAGCAGACAGGCCTCAGAGGGCCGTGTGCCCCTGTGCTGGGGGGGTTTCATGCTGCTGATGCAGGCTGGCTCCTTTTCAACCTCAGCAAGTAGGGTCCTTGCTTCGGGGTTTACCAACGAGAGTGGTAGTGTTTTGCTCCCAAACCATGGCAGCCAGACTCCTCCTTTCCTCCATACACAAAGGATTGCTGCTTCCTTTATACTATCTCTAAAAACAGTCCCTTTACTTGATCTGTCACCTAGCTCATACAAGATTGTGCTGTTGTTTGTTAATTCCACACTCTGCATTCCTGTCAGCTTGTGGCTAAAACAGTGACTGGATGTCTGGTTGTAAAAAGCGTTCCGAGGCTCTGTAAGTGTCCGGCCTTTGACAGATAAGGATTTTCCAGCTGTTGCTCCTGCAGCGGCGGTGCCCTCCTGGGTGCCTGGGCTTGTTAGCCAGGTGTGCTGTGAGGCTGGGGGTTTCCTGCTGATCTTGACAATCTGCCAAGCTGTTCATTGCTCTCAGCCCTTTTTGGGGAAACGTAGAGACAGACTCTTTTGGCTAGTGTGTTAATTTGGGTCCTCCAAGAAGCAGATGTTGGAAAGAGATTGGGTGTACAAATGATTTACTGGGAGAAACTCCTAGGAGAGAAAAATAGGGGAGGAGCCTGGGAATGCTGGGCTCAACCCCCTGTGCAGAGAGGGAAGGCAAGAAGGCCAGCCAGGAAAATTGTGGGCTGTAGTGCAGTTTTCAGAAAGGTTTTGTAAAGGTGATGGGGTGTCTTTGAGCCACATTTGCCCCTCAGAGTGGTCCCCGCCTCCCTGGCTTAGAACCCCTGCTGTGCTCAGCCCCTGGATGGGGGCAGCTAGTGTGGAGCCTCAGTGTGAATATGGTGATGGAGTCCAGCCACAGAAGCTGAGACCACTGCTCAAAGGCACTCCTCACAATGGGACACCTGTTTGGGAGGCCTGCTCTATGGCCAGTGCAATTGGTCACCTGTGGCTTCAAGCTGCTTGCTCCATTTCTGTCGGTATGCTTCTTTGTGAAGGCTGGAATGGGAGCTGGTGCTGAGGGTAAGACAGGGCTGTTTAGGCACGTGTGAATTTGTGTGAATTTGACCACACTGAGCGTTCGGCACTCACAAAGACCTGCTTTCCCTGCTTGGGAAGTGACAGTGGGTGCTTCATATTTACTCCTAGCTATGTCATTGAAAGCATTTTTGCAATAATAGGTGTCTCCCCCAGTGGGAGTTGCAAATAATGCTCTATGGATTATTTCCATGCAAGCCCCAAGCAGATAATATCTTGTGGTTCTCTTCTTTGTATCTCACTTGAGTATCATTCCTGCCATCTGCTCAATCACTTTTAGGACATGAATCCTTTCTAGGCAAAGTGTTGAAATATAATGTTCCTAGGCAATCCTCCCAGACCAGTGGGAGTTGAGCTGACGTATGTTCCCTTCTCTGTCTTGACTGGTTTTACTGTAGTCACTGGACACCGTGGATGGAAGGCTGCCCACTGTTCTGTAGTGGCTCAGACACTCAGTGAAGATGAGGACCCCCTCGCTGGTTTTCTCACAAAAGCTAGGGCACAATATTTCTATTATGAAAGAGTGAGCCAAACACTGATGCGGATATAAGGGGAGATATTCTGGCAAGATATCTGGTTGTCATTCTCACCCTTCACTCTAGTTAGTTCTCTTTGTTGCCCAGGTAGTAATTCTCACATGGAAATCTCATTGTTTTACCCTCCTGCCTCAATAGTTCTACCTTACCACTGGGCTACAAGTCAAAACTTCTTAGTGTGACAGAAGAGTCTCTTTAGGACCTAGTGCCTGCCTATGGACTGCAGTCCACAGTTTCTCTCTCTCTCTCCCTCTCTCTCTCTCTCTCTCTCTCTCTTCCTCCCTCTCTCTCTCTCTCTCTCTCCCCTCTCCCTGCCTCTGTGTCTCTCTTCATTTATTATCTTCTTACACAATTAGTGGTTCCCCAGATGTACTGGCCGAGTCCCTCTGCATTCACACAGTGTATTTATTGGGTTATCATCAGTGATCACAGAAATACCAACACATGCATGGCTTATACCACAGAAGTTATTTTCACTCACATAATAGTCCAGTGCAAGTGTTCCTGGCTGGCAGGTGCTTTCTCCCACCTGTTATCTCAGTACTCCAGGCTTTGAGCCCATTGTCTCTGTCCACCTTGATGGCCTTTGACCTCTCCCCATTCAACTTGCAGATGGGGAAAGAGAAAGGAGAAAATGCACCTATTTCTTCAGTGCTATGGCCCAGAAGTTACAGACATCAATTTCCCTTATACTCCATTGGAGAGAACTGACCAGATGCCAACAGCCAGGAAACAGAGCCTGGCTGAGCAGCCAGTTCGCAATAACAGTTCTACACACGAGGAGAGCGTGAGCCCTGGAGAACTTTCAGCTGTCTCTGCTGTTACGCGCTGCCACCAACATGTGCAGCTGGGTCTCAGCTCATTCCCTGATTCAGCTCATCTGGACAAATTTTATGTGACCTTCTAAGATTCGTCTCAAGCTTTGCATAATTCAAAGGGCTTTGGAGTGTCTCTTCTCTATACTCATATAACAGAGTGCTCACCAGCTGTCATAGCACGTGTCACATTGTATTATAATTGTTTGCTCATGAGTCTTCACTTATCTAAACTTGAGTTCGTGTAGGACTGGACATGTATTTTTATTTTAAATCTATAAATGTCTGGCATGAAATATGCAACCAATTAATGTTTTCTTAAATAAATAAAAGGTTATTAAATGATTTAATTCAAAAGAGAGTTTAACTCTGCAAAATTTTATGTTTTAAAGAGTGAGCTATGGATTATTTTTTCTCATACACATATGTCAATCCTAAATCTAAGTTAGGGAGTTTAGAACTCTGAAATTTCTTTGCTATTTGATAAATATATATTAGAAAAGTTCACAGTTATCAGATTACCACAAGCAACCTTACACAGTTTTTATAAACTTAAAGTCAACAATTGTCATTTAGAATCAACTTCGCACAAAAAGGCATATTGTATCACTAGAATGCATTTTCCTACAGATAAGAAGAAACTTGATTCAGAAGTCGCTGAAAAAATTAGAGAATATTTTATCACTTAAAAAGAAGTCTAGAATTAGGGTAGCTCTAGGGCAGGCTGGTTGATGTTGACCCAGGAACTCAGTGATGTCATTTGGGATCCAGTGCTTTCTGTATATTGTTGCTACCATGCTTAGCTGGACGACTGTGGACGGACTGTGTTCGTGGACTGGATCCCTCATGGTCACAAGATACTGTCACTGCCAGAAATAATAATAATAATAATAACAATAATAATAATAATTTACATTAGTCATGTCCTGAGGGAGAGAACAAGAACTGTTCTTCTCCCGAATCATGGAATTACAAATATTTGCTCTTAGTTCAAAGGAGCCAAATTAATATGTACCAATCTGTGGACCAGAGCATTCTTAGGGGATTCCAGTCTCCTGACTGGTGTAGTTACTCTAAATCTATAACAGAACAAAGGGTTTTTTGAAATGTTTGGCAAGATAGAGGAAGCAGGTATCTCTTCTCTCCAAAACATGTGAGTCCATTAGGAAGAAAACATAGAAATGTATGCTGAGTACTCAAGCAATATCATCCACTACCAGTATTTTAACAGTACATTATATTGAACAGATATCTACTGAAAGTCAGTAATGTTTAAACCAGGCAATGATCCTACCCATCCTTCTGTCAGCCCTGCATATCTGTGGGCTGAGCATCTGCAGATCCAATCAACCTTAGATCAAAATTATTTAAAAAAAAAAAAAATCCATCCAGGGCTGGCGCTGCGGCTCACTTGGCTAGTCCTCTGCCTGCGGCGCCAGCACCCCAGGTTCTAGTCCCGGTTGGGGCGCCAGAATCTGTCCCGGTTGCTCCTCTTCCAGTCTAGCTCTCTGCTGTGGCCCAGGAGCACCTGGCTCCTGGCTTCGGATCGGCGCAGTGCCATTTGTGGGGTGAACCAACGGAAGGAAGACTTTTCTCTCTGTCTCTCTCTCTCTCTCTCACTCTCTAATTCTGCCTGTCCCCCCCCCCAAAAAAAAAATTCCATCCATTGTACCAGCATTGTTGCACAGCAGGTTAAGCCACTACTTGTCACAGCAGTATTCCAAATTGGAGCACCGGTTTCAATCCTGGCTGCTCTACTTCCTATCTAGCCCCTGGCTAATATGCCTAGGAAGACAGCAGAAGATGGCCAAGTGCTTGTGCCCATGCTACCATGTGGGAGACCAGATGGAGTTCTGGGATCATGGCTTCAGCATGGCTCAATCCTAGCCCTTATGGCCAAATAGGGAGTGAACCAGTAAATGGAAGATTCTCTCTCTCTCTCTCTCTCTCTCTCTCTCTCTCCCCCTCTTTCTATCATTCTGCCTTTCCAAATAAAATAAATAAAATAATTCTTTTAAAAGAAATTACATCTGTGCTGAACCTGTGCAGTTTTTTAGTCATTATTCCCAAACACTGTAGTATAACAACTATTTATATAGCATTTACATTGTTATTAGTTATTATAAGTAATCTAGAGATAATTTAAAGTATATGGGAGGATGTGAGTACGTGATGTCAAATAGTCTACCATTTTATTTAAGGAACTGGAGTTTCAGAGGACATTAGTACCTATGGAACTAACTCTCCACCAAAACTGCAGGGTGATCATACTTAAAAGCGTCTAGTAATGAACACTTAAGATTGTCTTCCCCCACTACCGTTATTTATTCTTTATTTTAGGCCTCATAATGGGATTGATTTTACGATATGCTACAGCACCAACTGATATTGAAAGTGGAACGGTCTATGACTGTGGGAAACTGACCTTCAGTCCTTCAACTCTCCTGGTTAACATCACCGAGAAAGTTTATGAATATAAATACAAGAGAGAAATTAGCCAGCACAACATCAATCCTCACCAAGGCAATGCTATACTTGAAAAGGTAAGGATCCTATTTTATCATATATGATTGTTTTCGGTTTGAATAATTGCATCGTATGTGAGCATCTATAATGTTTTGCATTCACACATCTATCTATGTCCTTTTCAGCACTACACTGTTGGGGGCCACTTTGTTGACAAAGGGCAGTACCTTGTGGTATGCTCTTATTATAAGCTCTGTTGTCAGTGTGTTTTCCTGGAAGTTGGAAAAGGAAGATTTATATTATAGGTGTTTTAAAATCCCATTATATTAAGTAAAAATAAAAATTCAGCAATTTTGCCTTTCTTGATAACCTAATTCAAGTTTTCAATGTGTATTTTAAGTGCCATCATATATTGCTATTATATATATTGCCAGCTATTTACTTGTTTTAAATCTCCTTTGCACTAAATGGAAAATGGAGAGAAATGAAACTGTTTTCATTTGCAAACCTTGATCTAGGATGACTGGCTTTTGGCTGCCAATGTAAAACATTGGTCACTCTGCTGCTTAGAAATACACTGACACACATTCAGTCTCAAGACATCTTGTCTCCTAGAGTGCAGTTAGAGATTCTTGGATTGAAAAAGAAAAACTGTGAAATAAAATGACTCACCTTTTTTTTAATGATTTATTTATTTTATTTGAAAGGCAGAGTTAGAGAGAGGCAGAAGCAGAGAGAGAGATATCTTTGATCCGCTGGTTCACTCCCAAGATGGCTACAATGGCTAGAGCTGTGCCGATCCGAAGCCAGGTGCTTCTTCTAGGTCTCCCATGCAGGTGCAGGGGCCCAGTGTCTTGGGCCAACTTCCACTGCTTTTTCAGACCATAGCAGAGAGCTGGATCAGAAGTGGAGCAGCCAGGACTTGAACCAGCACCCATATGGGATGCAGGCACTGCAGGTGGCAGCTGTACCCACTATGCCACAGTGCCAGCCCCCAGTGACTCACCTTTTAAAAACTGGGTTTATTACTGCAAATTTGTGAATAACTTCAGTCAATAGAAGGAAAATTTCCTTCTACTCTTGATCATGACTGTGGATCAGCAATCAGGTGAGGTTCCCTCTTGTGGCACCTGTGTGTCCTAGATCAGCTGTTAGCTGTGAATTTCTGTGTAAAAATCTAAGTTTGTGCTAAGAACCAAGATTTTATTTCATTTATTTTTGGGTCAGTGCTGAGGACTTTCAGATATTGTAAAGTGTATTTTATTACTTTTGTCCTTTATGGATTGAGTTTCCTTGTCATTTTTTTTTCTTTTTTTCATTTTGAGAGGCATGGGCCAGGAGGAGAGATACTTGGTCTGCCATTGTTCCTTATTCCAGATGTGTACTTTCTGTAATTTCTCTCACATTATCTTCCACTAGCACATTTCCAGATTGACTTCCTTTGAACACTTAGTAAGGGCTCAGGAAAGTCAAGCAGATTATAATGTTAGCCTAAATAAGGCTTCTTTAGAAAAGTGAGTTGAAGCACACACACACAAAAAAAACAAATTAAACAATATTGTGGGTTTTTTTTTAAGATTTATTTATTTTTTTGAAAGTCAGAGGTACACAGAGAAAGAAGGAGAGACAGAGAGAGAGAGAAAGGTCTTCCATCTGCTGGTTCACTCCCCAGATGGCTGCAACAGCCCAAGCTGGGCCAATCTGAAGCCAGGAGCCAGGAGCTTTTTCCAGGTCTCTCACACAGGTACAGGGGCCCAAGGACTTCGGTCATCTTCTAGTGCTTTCCCAGGTCATAGCAGAAAGCTGGATCAGAAGTGGAGCAGCTGGGACTTGAACTGCCACCCGTATGAGATGCTGGCACTACAGGCAGAGCTTTACCTGCTATGCCCAACAATATTGTTTTATTATTTTTTTATTTAATGAATGCATTTTTACATAGATACAACTTTTGGAATACAGGGGTCCTTTCCCCCCATGTCCCCCACCCTGCTCCTGTCCCACCTCCCATTCCTTCTCCCATCTCCTTCTTCATTATGGATCATTTTTAGTAGGACTTTATATTCAAAAGACCAACTCTATGAGGCCTTCTGTTTTGTATTATCTCTCCCATGTGGTTCTTCTGTTCACGTAAATAATAGGTTATGCATTGTGAAATAAATAAATTTTTAAGTGACCTTGTCAGTAACGTAAGGATTTTAATGAAAGTACACTGTTGTTTTTCCTTTGGTTAGTACCTGGACATAGGTGAATTATTTCTCTCCTTACTTTCCTAACCATTTTTATTTGCATTTCTACACAGTATTCTCGTAAAAAACGTTGACCCCTGAAGGTTATTATTCGTGTTGCTGTAGAAATTTTGTTCTCTAATAGGATGGCCTATAATTGCCTGATCAGAAATTTTATTGTATTATAGATATATTGATATATTGATTCATATATATATAAGATATATAGATCATATATATCAATATCTATTGTATCAATATGTACTCATTATAGCAATATCTATATCAGTATATATAGGTACATTGATTCTTTTATCATTAGCCATAATCAAGTATTTGCTTTTGAAACATTAAGATGTTATAGAAAAATAAGTTGCTGGGCCCTCAATTTTTTAGTGGGAGGCTTATGAGTTTTGCACACAAGTTTTTTAATTGATCTCAAATGGCTGAGATACGTTGGGATAAACTTCTAAGTCATGTGACTCACTGAGTCATAGTCAGCATTTGTTGCTTCAGTCATCCAGGGTTGTTGAAAGGTGACACAGCAGCTAGAGCAAGTCATCCCCTCATTGCTGGTAGAGGAAGGGGCAGCTTCTGATGCATGTACTGTATTCAGTGACTTTAGGGGGGAAAGGAACTTGTCTGTAAATGACTGGAGAATGTCTTGCTGCATGTTTGGCGCTTATCATCACTGTTGGGGGACCCTAAGTGGTCTGCAAAAGTGGACAAACCGTCGCCTTTCTTATGGGGAATTCTCTGTTGCATGCCATTATTCATATGAATCATTCATGTTAGTTGCAAAGGGATTCCAAAGAAGGGTCTATCCACTGGAAGATTTATAAGGAGGTGGCACAAAGTCATGGTTTAAAAAAAGCTTTGAGGGGCCGGTGCTGTGGCATAACGGGTAAAGCGCTGCCTTCAGTGCTGACTTCCCATAGGTGCATGGGTTCGAGTCCTGGCTGCTCCACTTCTGATCAGCTCTCTGCCATGGCCTGGGAAAGCAGTAGAAAATGGCCCAAGTCCTTGGGCCCCTGTATCTGTGTGAGAGACCCGGAAGAAGCTCCTGGCTCCTAGTTTCAGATTGGCACAGCTTCTGCCATTGTGGCCAATTGAGGAGTGAACCATCAGATGGAAGACCTCTCTCTCTCTCTCTCTCTCTCTCTCTGTCTCTCCTTCTCTCTGTGTGTACCTCTGACTTTCAAATAAATAAATAAATAAATAAATAAATAAATCTTAAAACGAAAAAAGCTTTTGGGATCAGAGAGATATGTCATGTCCTATTACGTTCCTTAAGCTTCCGGATTCCAGACTTTCTTTTTTGTGTATGGAAAGATTAAAACCTATTTTGTAGAACTGTTTTAATGTTCAAGTGAGGTGATGTTTATGAAGTGCCTGGCTGATGTGGGACCTTTGCACTGCACTGTCATCACTGCAACCCTACAACCACTGCGACTGCCCCTGCACTAGTGCTGCCATTGCTACCGCTAGATAATGTTGCAATGCATCATATAGGCTAAGGATTAGTAAAGTGTGCATATGTTTTATGCACTTATTTAACATCAATTTGGGGAGATAAAACCAATGCATAATATATAGTTCAATTCTGAGTTGCATCACATGGATGCTGAGAGCAATAAAACTCTACAGAGTAGTTGTCGCAAATACTTGAGCTTGTTCGGGAGGCTTCCTGAAGATGGCAATGAGAAGGGCCGTGAGGGTGGATGCAGCTTGGAAGTCATTAGGGTTGGACGGATTGGAGGGTGAGACTACGATGTGTGCCTCTCTAGGTTCCCAGGGAGGAGAGCTTCATCCTCTGCTTTGGATCCACAGAGCCAGCGGAACTGATCAAAGCAGTGAGAAGAGAAGTGTCTGAGAGTCCAGCATTTAGACCTGACTGGGAGAATATGGGAGTCACAGGACATAGTGAGGGAAAGAAGGGCTGAGGACGGGATGAGTGAAAATGACCTGGATCTGCAGACTGAAACCACCCAATTTGGAGACAAAAAGAGATCTGGCCTCATTCAGTTGAATCCTCTAATTTTTAGATAAAAAAATAGAACCATTCACACTAAAATCGATTCAAGTCAGTGGGTCCCAGGCTGTCTGTACTTTGGAATCATTTAGAAGCTTCAAAAAAAAAAAAAAATCCCGATTTTCATGTTCTGCCCTGCAGTTTTTGATTGGCTTGGCTTAGGGGATAACCTCAGTTTTGGGATTTTAGATCACCAACCTGCTTTTAATGGGCAGTTTCCACTGACCCACGTTCTATGTGGCATTCAGGTGAACATGGTGCTGAACGAGAGATGCCACTTAGGTTTGTTCTCTATGGCCCCTGCTGCTGCGAGTCTGCCTGCTGCTTTTGGTTTGTTCCTTCAACACACCAGAACTTGCCTCAGGAGCTCTGCACATGTCATTCTTCTTGCCTTTGATTAATGGGTTCCTTCCTTCCTAAGATCTTGGCTTGAAATGCTGTATCTTTAGAGAGGGCTAGTCCCCGCCGTTCCTGGCACCATTCTCTGTATTCCGTGTCTCTCTCATTACAGGCCATAGGACCATCTGAAATTATGTATGCATTTGCTGGATTCTTGCTTATGTTGTTCATTGCCCACTGGGCTGTAACTATCACAAAGGCAGAGAGCAAGCCTCTTTGATGAACTAAAGTATCCCCAAAGCCTGCTGTGATGCCCAAGCCTAATAGTGGCTAAATCAACAGTGAACAAATGCATGGATAACTGAATGAATCTGAGCGCTTGACAGACCTCATGCTGCTGGAGAAGTGCACAAAATTTTAAAATCATCATGAAGCTGGTAGAATTGTAGTCTTCTAGATGCTTAACACTTGAAGAAACCTA